ATAAAATTAATTTCAGTAACTTCTATAGATCATTTAATAATTCTTTGTAGATCAACTTTTCAATAGTGAATTTTTAGTCAGTAACAATATAAAAATCATGCTGCGGAACTATATAAATCATATGATTAAAACCTGATTTTTATATGTAACAACTCACATGATTTTTTGATTATTTTTATTCAGATATAAATTTATTAGAAATCATTTTTTTGGTTTTTATTTTCCAATACAAATCAGTTTCATTACTATTGAAAACATTTTTAAGTTTATAATCATGAATCAAATTTTAAAGTTTTTCTCTAAATTCATCTAATTTATCAAGAGTTGCACTTGCAATTCTTCTTGTTTTAAATAGCAAGAGAGATTATGTTTTTTTTTAAATCTACCAATCTAATCATTACTTTCTTTAAAATTTTCAACCTTATATAAAAAAGCAAATACCATGACTTTTTATATAAAACTTGATTAGTTATATCATTACTATTTTATAAAGTTTTTAATACCTATAAGATAAGAACTTCTTCAATTTTAAGAAAATTATTTTAATTTATCTTTTGTTTTAGGTTCAGTTATTTGAGTAAGATTGTTTATCTAAACTCATTTTAGATTTAGTTAAATGTTTAATCCTTTTGTTTTGCTAAATTTTTAGTAATTTAATAATAGTTTTGCTATTTTTATAAGCTTTAATATAGATTTATCTTTTCTGAATTTTACAGACTTTTAATAAGATTTTAATATAATTGTTTTACCTTTACTATTTAAATGCCTGATTAAACTATAGATTTTGTCTAGCAACTTTATGCTTGAGGATTAATTTCAAGTTATTTTTGAGCTTTTTTAACATATCATTAAATACCCTTTACTAACATTATATATTTTTGCTAATTCTTTATTTTTATAGAAGATTCGTTAAATTTCTAAAGACATATTTCATGTTTTTAGGCAAAAGTTAAGGTGTTTTTTTCGACAAAGTTTTATCTTAAGTAATTTTATCTTTACCTTTTGATATAATTGTTTAAAAATATTTACTTATGAATTTTTAGTCTTAGGCATAATGATATGTGAAAAGAATTAACTAAATCAGGATAACACTTATTATAATTAAAAATAAATCATAATAATTTTCCTTATTAAACTTTAATAAAGCCTTTAAAGATAAGCTGAATTATTTAAATAAAATTTTATATAATTAAGTTTATTAATTAATAGTATAACTTTAAAAAATTTGATATAGTAAAAATTTTGTCATATAAAGGATCATTTTAATTATACTTGTTTCAACATTTAAATTTAAGTTATAAGTTATAGAATATTTACTATAAAATTTGATATATCAAAAATTATTATTTATAAAAAAATTGTATCTACATTTTTTTTATTATAATAAGTTTTTTGTTAAAAAAAAATTCACTATAGAAAAGAAAAACTATATTTTTTAAAAAACATTTTAATTTTAGGCTTTAGAATTTTAAGTAAGTTTTTGAGATATATTTTGAAACATCTCTTTTTAAAATATTTATTAATATTTCTTTTATTTCTTTTTATAAGTCTGATATTCTGATTTCAAATTTTTGGATAATGATATGTTTTAAAATTATACTTTGAAATTTGTGTATTTTTATTTTAAAAATATTTATTATTATTTGTTTTTTTTTTAAAAAATTAAACCTTCTTTAAAATTACTATTTATTAAATTAATGTAGATTATTTAAATTAAATATAAATAAATAATATAATATTAAATATTAAATATTAAATTAAATTAAATTAAATTAAAAAAATTGTCTATTCAATTATCTGTTATAAACTGATTCTTTGAAAATATTGAATATATCAAAAACTTATTAGAAATATATTTGATAATATATCATATTACTAATATTTTATTGAAACTTGTTTTAAAATAATTCAATATGAATTAGTTTGAAGGTTTTTTGATTTATGTTATAAATTAATTTGATTTTATATAGAACTATCTAATTCATTTCAAAAATTAAACTAATTATAAATTAGTAATTTATCAGATATATGAAATTTTACTAATAGTTTTTCATTTGACCTGTAAGAATAATAATATATATATATAATAATATAAAAAGAAAATAATAATAAATATTTTTTTAAATACACAAAAAAAAAAAATAAATTATGCTTCTATTAATTTAAAAAATATAAAAAAATCTTTATGTATTAATATTTATTTTTATTAAATTCAAGATTTAAATTAAAGAAAACAATTTTTTTTAATACTAATAATAAACTGTATTCAAATAATAATAAATTATAGATAAAAAATAATTATTTATTTTATTATTATATAAATTTTATTATTATATTATAAATAAAATAAAAAAATATATATATTCTAAATAGAAAAAAGAAAGTTACTAAAAAAAAAATAATTTATATTATTATTCAATTAAGTAGCAAGCAATATTTAGTTTAAATATTACCATGATTTTAGAAGAAACTTGAATTAAATTGCCCTCATTCAAAGTTTAATGTTTTATATGAAAGCATTATCATATTACAAATCAATGATTTACTATGTATGTTATAACTTATAAACGTTTTCATAAAGATTCTTATTCAAGTATTCCTTTACAAATACGTTTTTATATCAGATAATATGACTTAATTCCTTCTTTTCTTTTTTTTTTTTACTAGAGTTGCTTAAGATCTTTTTATATTATAAAGTTAGTTTATTTATAATATATATTAAAAAATAACTATTAATATTTTAATACTTATAAGACATTCACAGTAATAGTTTACATTTTAATCAAATCTGTATAAAACATTCATAATTAAAAGATTATACTCTAATTTTTTTTAAGCCAAGCGATATAAATCACATAACCTCTATTAAATTCTCTTCTATACATAGAATTTGGTAATCGCCACATAACAAATTCATTCATTTTTTCCAAAAACACCAAATGAACTACATCTGATCTAAGCTCTAACGCGATAATGACGATCGTTAGATAAAGATTTTTACAAATTTTAGTTAAAGTTTTAACAAAATCATCAATTATGAATTCATTATATATACAATCACTAGCAATTACATAATCCCAATGATGTTGAAGGATATCTTTATCAATTTCTTCTCCCCATAATAATTCTGTTACAATAACTTTTGAATAATCTTCATTTAAATTACGTTTAACATTTTTCCAAAGATGTGATAATACATTTGCTTGATCCGTTAATGCCATCAAATTAACAAAAGGAGCGAGACTTATTCCTGCTAACCCGCATCCTGAACCTAATTCAAGGATTTTTGTTTTTTCAATTGAAAGATTTAACCACATTCGATGATCATTCATAAATTTTGTTAACATAATACTCGAGTCCCAAAGGACGGTTCCTGTTGTACCTCGTACCGAAAGAAGTGATTGATTCTGTGAAATCTTTACATTGATACTTTCTAAAAGATATATTTCAAAAAAGAAAGGAGGTTAGTAAATATTTTATGACACGTAAAAAAAAAAAAACTAAAGTTCAAAATCTCAACCATCGATTAAAATTTCAACATAATCTTTATTTTGTGTTACGGCGCGATTATGCTGCCATTCTAATGGACGACCTTCTGTGAATAAAGAGAAAACTTCTTCATATACATCAACAATTTCGATTCCATCTTGAGGTAAAGAAATTGGGAGTATTAACTTTTCACTACTTATTTTCATCGTTGAAAATATATATTCTTAAAAAAAAAAAAATTTTACAATTATGTCACGCGAGTGATTATTATGAACATATCACAAAAGCCACTTTCATGTGAATTTTTATTTTATAATTAATGATTTTATTAATACATTCTTTTGCTGAGTTCAATGGTTTATTAGTAAAAATTTTTGCTAATCGAGAAATAAATAGTTTGATGAAAGAATAATTTAATGAAAGACAAATTAGAATTCTAAAATAATAATAATAATAATTATAATTATACGATTTATATGTATTAAAATATAACGTCGGCATCATCATTTTTTTCCAATAAATCCGCAGGTTGAGAATCATAATTTTGTGCACCTAGAATAAAAATTGAATAGTATAAGTAAATGCAATATATTGGTGTAAAATTAATTGATAATAATACTATATGAGTACAACTTTCTCCAGCTTTAGACTCTCTCTCTTTCTCGGCAATTTGTTGGTCCTTCTTCTTTTTACCCTGAACCTTTTTAAGTCTTTAACATGTTGAAATAAATATTTTCGTTAAATGAGTTTTTTTTTCCACCTCCATTCCTTCCCTATTAAATGTACGCGCACCTGAAGAATTCCTCACGATCTTGCTCATCCAGTTCAGAGATTATATATTTTATAGTGTTCTCTATTTTTGGTATGATAACGTGTTCGATAGCATTTACACGACGATTTGTTACCTTGATAACTTCATCCAAGATGACGAATGCGGTCTGTATATAAGATTTGTATCAGAAAGGAAGGAAAAAAAATCATCATAATTCACGTAATTTATCATTTTTTACCTGCAAGGAAGCCAACTCAACCAAAGCTTCAACAGCTTTAATATACGTTTCTTTGCTTTTCTGTACCTGCTGACCACCACGACCAAGACCCGTTAATTCGAAAGCTTTTGTGGGCCATCATATAAATATTATTTGATCAGTACAAAATCATCTAATTATTCAATTAATGAAATCTTGATTTAACTTACCATTTCCTCCTTCCAAGTAACTCTCAAAAGTAGGTAACATTACTCCGGAAACATTTTCTTGTTTTGTGCGAACGCGAAATTGAGCATTTTTGACACTTTCTTGAACTTGATAACTTTAAAATTGCATATAGTAATTAGAAACAAACATATTAAAAATTTGGTAATGTATTGGCAATTACTTACCTAATATCACCTGCAATGTAAGTTACCTCTGCTAAAGAAAACGAAGCTGTTTGCATTACTTTACCCATTTTTCGTTTTGCCTATATGTTTATATGATTTTTTTTTAGATTTGTTGAATTCATAACAACCTTGTTTAAAAATGATAAAAAAGATTTCTTACTTCGTCAATTTTTTGAACGATTGATCTGAATCTTTTGGTAAGGGCTTCACTCTTACGTTTCAACAAACTGTGTCCCGTTTGTGCTCCCTTCAATTTTGTTTTCATGGTAGTTAAAGCCCTATGTAAAAAAATCAACCGTTAATAAATCGAAAATGTACGTAAAAAATAAACCTTTTTTTTCTTACATGCGAGTAGGAAAAATGTTAAGCCGAGCTCCTGTTCCCGACATTTTATGATTGAATTTTTTAAAAAAATATATTTTTTTTTACTGAAGTTCAGCCTTTTATAAAATACAAAAAAACGCATTAGATGACCACAAAAGATAACGATTACAGATGATCAATCAATCATCGTGGATAGTCCAATGAACATCTAATTTAATAAAGCTTGCACCAGATGTTCATAAGACCGAGTATTCTTAGATATTAATATTTTTATAACAAACGCGTTTTATCGTAATGAGATTCAGATTTCATTCCACATTAGTCAAATTAAACGCGTTATTTATATATATAATATATATATTTTTTATTGTATTTCATAAAATTTCAATGAAATGATAAATTTCCCAAATTTTTTGTAATTGTTTTATTTAACGTTAAAAATTTACAAAAAAAATAAATTATTTTTGATATATTTATTACCGTAAAGTGTGAAATTATTTAACGTTAATCGTTTAATAGTTCGACCATTGTAAAAAAGAGGGAGGATAAACGTTACACGAGAAAATTGTGTCAGGATGACGATCGATTTGAAACCAATCAAAGGATAAAAGGAGCTTAAATTCAAGTATCCATGAATTTCGAGTATTAATATTTCTATACCAACATGTTCTTTGGAAGAAAAAAAATTATCTTTTTAGCGATCGTTTTTATGATTTTTTGTATATCGACGGCGACGTCAGATCTGACAACTGTATCGTCGCCTTTTGAAGATAAATATGGTACCTATAGAATTGAGGATTTTTTTCTTATTACCAACAAATTTTATTTATTGACAATAAATCCCTTTTTAAAGATATCAAAAAGTATATCGTCATGTTCAACCCGGAAGTCTCAGAAGAAACAATGAATAAGGTAAAAGAGTTAGTCGTGAACTCCGGTGGAGAAATATATCAAGAGTTCGTTCTTATTAAAGGTTTCGCTGCCAAAATGAATGAACCTCTTATTCAAACTTTGACCAAAGATTTTTCCAATATTCTATCTTTAGAAGATGATAATACCGGTTAGTGATTACTTTGACGATTTTTGTTTTTTATTGATATATCTAAAAATACTTACTTTTATTTATTTTATATATATATATATATTAAAACCATTATTAGTAAACGCAAACTAAATAAAATTCGCTTTGGTTGGTTTTGGTTATAAATTCATTAATTAATTCATAGATATCTTATTCAAGAATACCCCATTATGTAATTTGTTTTATTATAGTGTAACAAAAATTAATGCTTTAAAAAGATTTTTGCATTTTGCGCCATAATAAAGGATGTATTTTTTTTTGATCTGTATTACAAACAAACAAGAATATTTATGTTATTCTTTCTACTAAAAGAATATTAGAATATTTGTTATGATGATTTTTTATGATAATATTCATTACTTAAAAAGAAGTGTATGCAAATAAAATCGAGAGATGAAACTTTAGAGTATCTGCGTTTCAAATCTAAAAGAGACGAGATTTGCAAATCCCGATAATCATTATGTTCATTTTATTATGATGAGGTTTTTTTTTAGACATCAAAGTTATTAAATTCATGTTTTTGTTCTGGTTTTTTAATGAGATCATCGTAGTAATAATTTCTTTGGTAAAATTTATTTCCCTATTTGCACTTTTTTTGATTGGCATCTTTTTCTAAATTTAAACATATTTAACGTATTACAACATAATAGATTACTAAGTACCTTTATGGTTTTTTTTAAAAAAAAAAAATTCTTCGTTCTTAATATTACATCTCTCTTCTTTACTAATATCCCGAGATTTATCGAAAAGTCCCAGTATATGCCAGTATATGTTATTACTTTAAATAATATAATAATAACTGGGGGTTTTAGTTTTCTCAAAAAGCTTCATTTTTTACCCCCACGTTTAATTTTATTTTCTTTATTTATAAAATATCCGATACTATACTCATAATTCAGTTTTTATATATATATATATAATAAAAATACACTCATTTAAATACAATTATATGGAGATACAGTAATGTCTACGTTGACAATATTTGTTGGTCGATTTATGCCTGTGGTAGTTTTATCTCTCGTGGGTTATACATACTACGTCTTTGTATATCGGATATGTGGTAAGTTTAAACATATCATTACGCATAACGCGTTAATTATATCATAAGAACGATTTAGTAAGAAAAACTTATCTTTTTCCATTTAGTTATACGCTTAATCAATTACAATAGAACTACACATGCTGGTAGGTTAAATTAATTAATTATTGGGAAATTTACACGTTATAACCTATCTTTAAATTTTTTTAGTGATATATCTGGTCATTTATAACATTTTGTTTGTAATGACTTTATTATCATACTTTAAAGTTTTATTTCAAGAACCTGGATCACCTGCAAAAGTAAGCATTTAAATATATTACAAGATATGGTTTAGCATTCGGATTACTTATTAAATTCATAATCACCAGCCACAGAAACGTACTCAGCAACAATCAAGTACGCAGTCAGGGAATTCCCCGAATGATGACACCATAAATGTATCACAGCCACAACCAACAGTACAAACAACATTTACTATTCATCATTTTAATCCTGTAACGAATCCAATAAATACATCAAATGCTGATGCTTTGTTACAAATGGAAAATGCTTTCGTTAAAAGTAATGCTTCCCCTGCAACGGGAAATGTCACAAATTCCAATCTTCCGAATCCCCCTTCAAGTGTAATGATACCAATGCCAAGTACATTTATAAGTAAAAGGGATGGAAGATTAAGATGGTGTGAAAGATGTAATTATGTGAAATCTGATAGGTGTCATCATTGTTCTGAATGCGATAAATGTGTGTTAAAAATGGATCATCATTGTCCGTGGGTTAATGGATGCGTGGGTTATTTTAACTATAAATTTTTTTACTTGTTCATAGTATATACTTCATTATATGCTGATTTTGCATTTGCTGCTGCTATTCCTATACTGGTAGAGCAATTAAAAGAAGAGGTAAGATAATCATTTTTCAACTTTATAATTATAATTATAATTAATTATTATTTGATTAATTACTTTACCTTTATTTAGAATTATCTTGATATACAATTGATTGTTTTAATGATATTGTAGGTTTATCAAAATAATTTTTAATATAATTGTGATATATATTTTTTTTCTTTTCACTGACCACGATTCATTTAATATTATATTATATAATCTTAAATCTTCATAGAGGATTCTTATTTGGTCTTTTACTCACAGGATTCACAATAGTTCATACAACATACTTACTACAGAATAGGACTACAATTGAAAGTATTTCATTTCGTACGAGGACATATCATGTACGTGTACAATTTGATACCGAAAATCCATTAGGTTATGGTGTAGCAACCACTCGTCCTGGTGAAAATTTGTGGGATCTTGGTTGGAAAAAAAATTGGAAATATGTTATGGGTGATAAATGGTGGTTATGGTGCATACCATTC